CAACAGTACAGAACTCGATAAAATGATGAAGTGGTTTAAAAGACTAGCTCTGTGGGTACAGACAATATTTTCATTTACTGAGGTTTGCCTTGCTTGAAGCCGTTAAAACTGTTGTTTTCCTCCTTCTTTAGTGGGGTTGACTTGCTTTACTGGTACCCTTACCAAGGCTTCAGCCTATTCATGAAGAGAGCCCTAAATGGCATCGGAAGGCAGAGCTGCAGAACTTTGGGCCGGAAGAGCCTGTGTGTCTGAGTACTTGCGACCGGAAGGAGTACTCTGAGGGTGCAGAGATCTCGAAAAGCCGTGCGGTAAGACCAGTCCAGGGCGGGTACAGGCTGGGCCTAGGTGCAGAACTGAGGAGGCGTCCGACAGAGTGGTATTTAAAGGGACTTCGCTGTCTTCTAGTTCCGGAGATTTGGGGTGATGAATTGGGTCGGGGGATCCCGGTGAGTTACGCTGCAGGAGTCTGAGACTATATAGGTCTTGAGTCCTTGGTCGTCGATTCTTGTAATGGCGCCTTTGGCTAGGAGGTCACAGTATTAGCGGGAAATAACATTGTAGGAGTGAGCCGCTTAGTAGTTCTCCAAGCTTGGGTTGAGAGCTTGACATCATTTTCCTATTATTATTATTAACTGTTATTGTTGTTAAGTGCTTCTGACCCATGGTGGTGATTATGTGCCGTGGAGTCAGTTCCGACTCATAGTGACCCTGTACAGGCTTTCTGAGGCTGTATATCTTTACGGGACCAGAACGCCTCATCTTTCTCCTGCGGAACAGCTGTTAGTTTCGAACTGCTGACCTTGCGGTTCTCATCCCGATTCGTAACCAGTACGCTATTTGACTCATAGCAACCCTTTATGGGGTTTCCAGGGAAAGGCTGGTGAGCTTGAACCATCGACCTTGCAGTTCAAACGACTTTGCAGTCTGCCGCATTGGCACACAGCGCCACACCAGGATTATTATTTTTTTTAATTAGGATCCTTTTTTAATTCCTCCATGATGCGCTTATTACCCTGTTCGTTTGTAGCTGAAAATGTGCCAGTTTAAAATTATTGTTAAGTGCATCCATTCAGTTTTGACTCATAGCGAACCTGAATAAGGTTTTAGAGGTTTGGAAAAAAAAATTTTTTTTATTGTGAATTGAGCAAAGATCCACAGAGCAGATCTTCAGTTCCCCATTCAGTAGATCAGTATAACTTGGCTCACAGTAATGATTACAACCCCTTCCAGGCACCATCGGTTAACAGTGTTTACCTCTATTCACTTTAACTCTTGCATTCCTCCTTGGGCCGCCCACTACCTTAATCTTCCCTTTACTAACCTCCCTCTTGTTGTATATTGCCTGCCCCAGCACCCATGTTAACATGTGTCTGCCTTCTAACCCCTGAATTATTTTCTCTCCTTCCCACCCCCACCCCGTAACCATCATAGATTGTTTACTTTTTTAAGAATAAATTTTCCTAATTTTTTACAACTTTGGTCAAACACAGTATTTTCCTTTTGTGATTGAATAATTTCACTCATTGTAAAGTCCTCCAGGTTCATCCATGCTGTGAGGTGTTTCACAGATTTATCATTATTCTTCCTTGTTTCATAGTACTCCATTGTATGTGTGTACCAAAGTTTAACTGTTCTTTTGTTGGTGGCCATTACGCTGTCTTTTTGATGTGCCTCTTGTAGACAGCATATTGAAGGTTCCTGTTTTCTTATCCATCCTGCTCTGTCTCTTAACTGGTGCATTTACCTATATAATCCATTTACATATATAGGGTCGCTGTGGGTTGGAACTGACTTGATAGCACTTAACAATAATATGAATTGATTGCTGTCATTTTGCTGTGTGTTTTTTGTGGTGCTGCTGGCTGTTTTACACGTAATTTTCTGTGCTGAGTTCATTTTATTTGTTGGCTTTCTTTTCATTTTCATTTCTGATGTGTCATTATTTACTAAATATTTCAGATTTTCTTCTTTTTTATTTTGATGTGAAGATTATTTTTCTTTAAGTTACCCTGAATTCCCCCCCTCCCGTTTAAAACAGCCTCCTTAACCTTGAAATCTACTTGATACCTTGAAATCTACTTGATTTTCTCCCATTTGGAATTTCCTTATCTGCACTGTTCCTTATTTTTACATTGTGGTTAAAATCATTATAAATTTATATCTATGGTTCCTTATTTTCAGTGTTGTTGGTTTGTTTTCCTATGAGTAGGTATGGACTCTATGGCACCTAACAACAACAACAACAATATTCAGATTAAGCTCTGGGTGGTGTTGCTATATATGTTAATATCAGGTTGTTGTCCGCTGGTTTTGGTTCTCAATCCAAAGAACACCTTTTAGTAGTTTTTGTAAAGTTTCTCTGGTTATTACAAATTCCTTTAATTTTTATTTTTCTGGAAATGCCCTACTTTGCCATCATATTTGAGGAACAACTTTGCTGGCTATATAACTATGGTTGACAATTTTTTCTTTCAGAGTTTTGTGTGTGTCATTCCATTGCTTTCTTGCCTACATGGCTTCTGTTAAGAAATCAGAGCTCAGTTGTCTTGGTTATCTATTATAGGCAATTTCATTTTTCCTGAGTTTCTCTCAGTACTCTTTGATTCTCTTTGGTTTTAGAAAGTTTGATTATGATATGTATTGGTAATTTTTTTTGGAATCTGTGCTGTTTTGTGTTCATTCAGCTTCTTGTATATTTAGCTTCTCATCTTTAATCATGTTAGGGAAATTTTCTTCCAACAATTCTTTCACAATTTTCTCTGCAGTTTTTATTGTCTCTTCCTGTTCTGGAATGCCAGTCACCCATAAATTAATCCTCTTCATGGTGTCCCATATCTCTTAGTTTTTTTTTCAGATTTTTTTTTTCATTGTTCT